TATTTTAAATTTATCATGCTGGATTCTTATACATCTTTTACTGTATTCCCTAATACGCTAGGCCACTCTGCCCAGTCACTCTCATGACGCACAGACTTAGGTTTACATTTTCCCTTATAGTGTGAAAGATATCATCTCATAGTTTAAATGCAACAGATATTATCTCCCCTCCATACATACACCTACCTATTCATTTCATTCATATATTCACTTTTCAACAAACATCTGTAGAAGCCAGGTGCAGTGGCATGCACCTGTACTATCAGTGATTTGGGAGGCTGAGGCAGTAAGATTGCAAGTTTGAGGCCAGCCTCAGCAACTTAGTGAGACCCTGTCTCAACATTTAAAAAAATAAAAATTAAAAAATGTCTGGAGATGTAACTCAATGATAAAATGTCTCTGGGTTCAATCTCTAGTGTATATACACACACAAACACACACACATACACACACACACATAAAAATCTGTGGAGTAAATTTCTATGCATCAGGTACTATGCTGGTCTCAGATATTTGATTATAAATATATTAAGGCTTTGTGGTTTGGTTAGAGAAACTGTCACATAACTGTAATACAGTGTGATAAGTGCAGTATGACAAGCATTAAGTATCAAGAAGCAGGACAATGAGGGATTGATAATTCTTTCTTCATAAAGAAAATGATTATATTGAGCTGGGCTTTAAAAGTAAACAGGAATTGGGAAGGTACTTAAAGGGGGACAGCAGCTCAGGAAGGGGGAATAAGAGCAGAGCATTTTAAACATAATTAAACTGAAAATCTTTTTTAAAGAAGAGAATTTTTTTTAAAGAAGAGAAATTGTACATTGGTTTGAATAATATTAGTATGAATTCATTTATTTCTTTTTTTTTAAAGAGAGAGTGAGAGAGAGAATTTTAATATTTATTTTTTAGTTCTTGGCAGACACAACATCTTTATTTGTATGTGGTGCTAAGGATCAAACCCGGGCCGCACGCATGCCAAGCGAGCGTGCTACCACTTGTGCCACATCCCCAGCCCTAGTATGAATTCATTTATTGACATAGGGTCAACTCAAATAATTGTCCAAACTAATCAAATGAATGAAAAGTATTATCTTCATTTGAAAATTGACACTATTGACTACACTTAATTTTGACAATTTTGATTTGAAAAACTTTTATTGAAATGGACTTGCCGTAAGGTGTAGAAGCAAAACTCCTTCCTTAGACTTGACTCCTAATATCATGTCCATGTTGTGGCTTAAGACGAGAGCAGTTTCCTCTAAATGGCTTATAATTAGTGCTTAGCCTCAGCATTGCCCTCCTTTTCTGAATAAGGCCTAGAGGTTAAACTTGTTTTCTTTCTCCCGTTTCAAGCCTTTGGTAAAACCTGGTTGTTCATGGTCCTCAGGAGGGACATTGCTAGGAAATGGGCTCTTCTTTTATGCCCAGGACAGGTACTGTGCTGTGCAAATAGCCACTACAGGAGATAACACCAGCCGCCTTGCTAATAACTCAGAACACTGTGAGTTCTGGGAGCATCTTTCAGATAAAGAAAAACTTTTATGAAATGGGTGACTCTATTTCAGTTGGACAACAGATTATCGTCCATTTGAGACTTGACTCATTGGGGACCAGGGATTAGCTGAAATAAAAAGAGAAAATAATAAACTTCAGAGGGCTGAGTTGTGCTCTGCATGGGTGAACTCGCAGCACTACACGATGCAAAGTAATAAGGTGGTCCTAATGACCACACTTAAGGATGTGGTGCAAAATCATTCATGGGAGTAAATCTCGAAAAGATCAGTTTAAAAGGAAGTAGACAGCAAGATGTGGAACATGAAGTAGAACTAACGGAGAGAGATCAGAAATGTATTGAGTTAAGAAATTAAGGTCAGTTATCTTATAGCTACACTCAGGAGTTGACTTTTAAGCAGAAGAGAAGGGAAAGTGTTTTCTATAGTTGGAAGTCATAAAAGGGAAGGTAATGGTCTAGAATTAGGCACATTTAGGTGAGGGGAGAAGTAATCTTTGAGCAGGAAGTTACCTGAGTCATCCTAATTAGAGCTGCTTAAAAATAGGACAACTAAAATACTAGTGGGATTAACCTGTATAATCATGCTCATGAGAGGAGGAGGGGAATTAACCCCAAGGCAAATTCCAAAGTAGCCTTTTCCTGGAAGCCTCCCTTGCACTGACAGTCTCCAAAGTTACTTTAATACCTTTTTTGTTCTTCTTTGCTTATATTTCTGATTTTTTTTCCTATGCAATTCTTTATTCTCCCCAAAGTTGGACTGACTAATCTCCTCCACCAAATTGTACGCCCTTGTATTTACAGATTTATCTAATAAATCATATCTTATAAAAATTATCCTTAATTGGTCTAGAATCCTCTGTGGCTCGAAGCTATTGCTGTAAGACCAAATTAATTCTTCTTCTAAGTATCTATGCTAATGGGTAATTTATCCAAATTGAAGAGCTGTTAGTACATTCATGATGCCATCATCATGAATTGAAGGAGCCAAAAACCTTCCCAGGAAGAGAAATACAAAGTGCCATAACCACAGTGGTCTGGAATCCAAAATAGAAACTGCCTAAATGTGTGACTTTGAGTAAATCATGAATCAGACACAGGAACATTTGTTAATTGGTATAGCTATACTCTATTTCTGGAAAAAATATATTGCTATCAGAGGATGCAAAGAAACAAATAACATAATCTGGCTATCATTTATAAGAAAATGACAGCATTAGTCAATTCCATCGTAGTGAATGAAACATATTTTGAGGTTCATTCTTCCTCTTATAGAGCACAATGTTACCTATTTTACTGCTCTTAAAACTGTCTAAGAGAGAGTATGCGGAGCTTCTAAGAAGGAAAACAGATTAATTGTTGGAGACTGTGAAAGCATGGCTTATTTTCAACTAAAGCTTCAAATAAGTTTAAATTTCCCAATTGCTCTGTTTTTCCTTGTAGAATACTACACAGAAAAAATGCTCTCTATGTGTTCCTACTCTCTCTCCTCAATATGACCAATATTTTATATATCTTAAATTAGTGATCAGGATAATTTCATAATTCAGTTTATTTGCCATAACTGCACTCATTAGACTACTTCTGGGATCCTTTCTCCCATTGTTTCAATAAAATTACTTGCGGCATTTTGCATGTGTGTTTGTGGGTCTGCATATGTGTGTAACCAGGTACATGCACAAAGACACGTGCACACTACACATCACAGAAGATCAAGGGCCATTTCTTGGTCATACACCTGCTCCATCATTCAAATGTCTGATGCCTTTCTAATTGACATTCTGGTCTTCTGGTCTAAGAGATTTTTAAGAAACTTGAATATATTTTTGAATCGCTTTTTAATTCCTTTCTTTTGCTATAAGAAAAAATGGATTTTGTAATTAATCTAAAAACCTCTAAACTGTGTTTGTTTTTAAGTATAGTACTTGTAGAAATCACTACCTACTTAGTAATTGGGTCCAAATCTATTAGTTCATCACATGTTCATGGTGTGCTTACTATGTGCAAACATTGTACCAAGTGATGGGGAGGCTGATAAGAACCTCATTTGCTATGAGGTTCCTGCCTTTGTGGAAGTTACAGTATGGAGGAAATGGGATTGGTTATAATTTTCAAGAGCACTAAAGAAAATAAACAAGATGCTGTAAAATTGTAATGAACGTACCTAAAGTGGTCTAGGAAAAGTTACTTGAGGAACACGCAACCTGTCTTACATAGCACAGGAGTAAACTAAGCACAAGAAGTGCATTGGAACCATTCTAGCAAACTGAACAGCCCACAGAAAGCCTGCATGTGTCAAGAATAAGAAATGTGGCTACAGGTGACTGAGATCAGAATGAGCTTTGATATGAAGCTAGAAGTGGGTGAAACTAGAGGCTGTTGGTAGTTTGGATTTTTTTTCCTAAGGGGAGTAGGAAGTCATCAAATTGTTTTAAATAGAGAAATTATATGTTCAAACCACAATTTGAAAGAGATTGTTCCAGCTACGCTTTGAAGAATAGATTGGATGGGAACAAAGTGGGACATTGGTGGATGAGATGGCTTTGGGAACTAAGAAGCCTGGGTTTGATAATGAGTTCTGTTTTTTGTTAACTTTGTAATTTTAGAAAAGTTTGTTAACCTTCTTAACCTTCAGTTTTCTCATCTCCATAATGGAAATAATAATACCATCGATGTTATTTGTATTCTTGTGAGAACTAAATGAGATAATGTTTATGTAGCCACTATTCTAGTGCTGGTACATGGTGATAGCTGTGAAAAAATTAGTGGTGATACCATGTCCCATTGTCCTACATATAGGACACCTGAAAAAAGTATACAATTTTAATAGAACACTTATAAAGTTGTTCTGTTTAAGTTTTTAATAGATGTCCTATATGTAGAATGTAATGCATTAACTGCAAAGGAGGTATGGAAGGTAGAAAAATTCTTAGGAAGCAATGTCCATAGTACTTTCTCATTAGAAAAATGCATGATGAAAGAAGTTGAGAACTGAAGAGTTTTAGCAAAATACACTTGTTTAAATTTAAATTTCAGTTATAATTTTTAGATAGTATAAACAAATACTTAAGATATTTTTTACTAAAATTATTATTGTTAAGTTCAAATATAATTGGGTATTATGTATTTTATCTGGTTTTCCTACCAAAGATGTCTCTAAGATAAGCAACTGAATAGATGGTATGCTATGCTGAAATGGAGAGGAATAGAGGGAGTCTGGTTTTTAGCTGAAAGATTATGAAGTAGGTTTTAAATACACTGAATTTAGGTGTCTTGGAGATACAAAAGTATGATGTAAATTATTTACTCAGTTTTTCTTTGGTCATAATTGACACACTCATTAAGAATATCTGTAACCATATTTGTACTGGGAATTGGGTAGTGCCATAATAGAATATCCTATTTTTCTATGTAATCAAAATGTTATCTTTTTAATAGAAGACTAGGAAAAAAGCATATATAAATTTTTTAATTTCTTTATTTCCAGGTTTTTATATTTCTCCAGGCAGTGCTGCTGGCTGCCTGCCATGTTCATGCCATGCAACTGGTGCAGTTAATCACATCTGTAATAGCCTAACTGGCCAGTGCAGGTGCCAAGATGCTTCCATTGCTGGGCAAAGCTGTGACCAATGTAAAGAGCATTACTTTGGATTTGATCCTCAGACTGGAAGGTAAATCTTTATAAGAGTGAATTATTTAATATTGTAGTATTTACATTTGCAATTTCTGTTTCTTTACTAACAGTAATTTTGGGCAGTCTTAAGGCACTATATTTTATTAAAAGAGTCCTTTTATCAATATATTTTTATTCATTGACATTTATTAAACCTAATGGTGATCTTTGACTATTTCTTGGAGTAGGTTGCTGTGCATTGATGTACCCTGTACTAGAGTCTGATAATAATACTGAATAAGATAAAAATATTTTTTACCTCAAAAAGTTTAGTATCTGGATGTGGAGAAAAGTAGGTAACAGACACCTAGTAAGAAAACACATACAGAAAATATATGTAAGACAGCTGGAAATACGTATATATGCATGCTTTGGTCTACATGGCTACTATATTTATTGTTTATTGCATCTATTTATGTTTTCCTTGTATTTCTAATTTAGGTTTAAAGATTGACAGATGAGAAATCTAATTTCTTGTTTATGATATGATTTTTTTCAGTGTATAAAGTGCAATTTGAAAATAAATTAATCACTTTTCAAAGTTACCCTGTGTTTAATATTCTATTTCTTATTTCCTGTATATCCAAGGGGATATTTGCCTTTACTTATTTGAGTTCTTTGCTATATTTTAAAATATGAGCTACAAAATCAGTTCAATATCCTTTCTCTTTTTCCCCAAATCCCTTTCTCTCTCTTACTTCAGATTACGAGCTTATCAAGAGTCCAGACTCTATTATGTCTTTTAAAAAGAGTTCCTACCACTAAGAAATGGGTCTTGTGTTCTGAACTTAGGAGATACATAACATCAGTAGAATCTTTTTCTCAATATTTGCATGTGTTTAAATATAAGTAATTATGTCTGTCTGTCTTTCTGCTGGGAATGGAACCTAGGTGCTAGCACACAGGAAGCAAATACTCTACTACGGGGCTCCATGCCCAGCTCTATTTGGGCTCTTTTTAGCACATAGTCTCTGCAGACTGTCTTTTGGCTCTTACACATCTCATGGACTCCTCCATTAGAGTATAGATAAGGTGACAGTTAATTTTTTGCAAAAGAACTAAAACCATTTTATTCTTATTTTCTTTTAAAATTTAATTTGATTTAAAAAGAGTACAGAAAGCCCATGGTATAGTGAATGTTAAAGGAAAGAACTGTTAGGATTTTAATAGTAAACTGGAGTCAGTATGGCACTGTACACAATTTTTATTGAAAGAACATTCTAAAAATTTCTGAGTTGCAACTCTAGGGTTGGTTTGTTCTACTCCTGGCTCCCTCTCTCTTTAAATGTCCTATCTTTTCCATCATTCTGACCACACATACTTAGAAAAAGAAGAATCTTCTTCTCAACCATCTGTCTTCTTTCCAACATTCATGCCCATCAGTGATGGTGTTGTGTGACACTCTCATACCCATTTTGTTCTACTGATCCCTCTTGTTATTCTTTCTGGGGTTATCACCAAAGCCTTGCTCAATGTCCAAGAACTATCTAATTGTTCCAGCTTTTGACTTAACTTATTTTTATTTGACTGAAACCTTATTATCTTCATTACACCCTTTTCTTTATCCTTCAGTGTTCTTATACTCAAAGCTGACCTTTACCCACTCTGTTTCTCTCCCACTTTCTACCCATCTCACTTTCTACTTCAAGTTAATCTAAGCCCAAGAACTGCTTACAGAATAGTGTTCTATCATCTATCACTCTGCAGTAGGCCTGGCTAGCACTGGAGTTGAACTCCCTGGGTTAGAAGGTAGATTGAAATGTTTACCCAAATTGATGAGGAATAGGAAGAGCCAAAGAAGGATGTATAAGCTACATTACTGGAAGGTACTGAAATTAACATCAAGAAAGAAGAATTCAGTCAAATAAAAGAGATGACAGCAGGATGGAGTCTAGGAGATAGAGCCAAATGCTGGGTAGATTTCAAAAGAATAAAAAAATCCAGAGTAATTGTGGGTTTAAAGCAAAAATACTCATGATAAGTTTTGTATAAATAAAATCAGTTCTCTTATACATATTGATTCAGGGAGGTAACTACCTTTGTAAAGTTACAAATTATCTTTTGAAATTACAATACTTTTCTTCTATCCTTATATCTCTTGTTGTTATTCTTAGAGGCTTTTGTTCATTAAGTATCTTATTAGGGGAATTTTTATAATTCGGATCTGGAATATACACTCAAGGTCCATGTATTAAAGTACTGGTTCCCAGCTTGGTGCTTTGGGAACTGATAGTAACTTTAAGAGGTGGGGCCTAATGGGAGGTCTTTAGATCACTGTATGTGTGTGTGATGGTGGTGGGGCGTGCCCCAGAGAGGAATAGTAGGACCAATTCACTTTTTTCTTGCTCCTTTTTACATCTTGGCCATGAGGTAAACAGTTTTGCTTTGCTACAGACCTATAACATGATGTCCCACCGTAGACCAAAAGAAGTGACTGATTTTGGACTGAAACCTGTGAGCCAAAACCTTTCTTTTTATAAGTTGATTATCTCAGGTCTTTGTTATAGTGACAAAATAATAATAATAATAATAACCCTAATTAACATAGGGATGGCATTTTTTCCTTCTAACTTCTGCCAGTGTACTGAACTATTTTTCTGTCTACTTATGCACTTCTTTGGCCTCTTCATTCATTTAATCCCTACTCCAGCGTCGTCCTGGATTCTCTACTTCTCCAATATTCCTAATCTTAGAAATGCTCTTCTATGAACATGACATCTCTTCAAATCTGTCATCCCTGAACCATCGCATAACTTGCTACTTAACTTCTTTTAATGCCTACTCCAGTACCCCTACCTGGTCCTCTTTTGATCAGCCCTCTCTTTGAGCAGCCTCATGCTACTAAGATCTTTCCCTTCTGCCATACTATGAGCCAGCTGCAGAGATGATTGCCTTCCTCATGTCCTTAATCTGTGACAATGTGCAGGAAGATCATGCACCTGTGCTTACTGACAGCGTGGCCCTGCATATGCTTATCATCACCTCACTCTCTGGCCCCTTTGAACTGTTAACAATCTTAGAATTTCAACTTCCTGCCTTTGCCCTTGCAGATTATTTAGGCCTCTGTTTTATAGAAAGAGGACCTGCATATCTATCTCCAGGTTATCTTCTCTCTACCTTCAACCTGCACACTTTTTCATGCATGTTTAATTTTTCGTCTATTAATAGAAGAAGAAAACAATGTGTCTTTTTCTAAAAAATAACCTATTGGCTGTTCTTGATGTGACCCCTACTAGTTTCTTTCTTTTGTTCCTCCCTTTCCTTCTTCCCTTTGAACTTTACTCCATAAAATCCTCCCCTTTTTCGAACTTAAACTCTCTTCACTGGCTATAACATTCTGCAAATATCCTCTTCATCGCCATCTCAAAACCCCTTCCCTTGACTCTGCCCTACTTTATGAGTCCTGTGTAATCTCCTACTCGTCTACTTACTGACATTTAAGCACAGGGTTTTTCTTCTTCATTTTGTCCCATTCCCATTTGTTCCTCAGCTACCACAATTTGCACAAACCCTATAAAATGTAATCAATCAATGACTACTAGTTTAATGACTGTGTGTGTGTGTGTGTGTGTGTGTGTGTGAGTGATCAAAGTTAGAGGCTGGAACATTGCTAGAAAAATATCTACCATTTAACTATATCCCCAGCTTCCTAGATGACTCTAAAAACTCTCATCCAAATCAAGGAAAGGTATTTAATAAGATGTAATGGATAAAAAAAATATGGGTTATAGAAAAAGAGAATTAGACAACTGTGTCTCCCTGGACATATACATGGAGGTCAGTGGCACTTGCCATTGAAGTCATCAGAAGGTGGCAGTAGGCCACTGGAAGGCTGATATGGATCTCTTTCTAGAGTTGGGTGAGGCCAGTGCACTGATGTCTATCTTAGACCTAGCAAATTTAAATGAGGACAGATAGTCTGGCCAGATTTGGAAAAGCAAGCTGGAAGAAAGTATGCTATGTAGTTTATATAGCCAGAGTTCATCAGGACAAGGCCTTACAAGCATCATAAGAAAGACAGCATGAGGTTGTCTTATTGTCTGCATAGAGTGCTGTCAGGAAGATGGAAGAGGCCTGAATAAAAGAAAACGTGAGAGTCCTGTGGCTAAATTAGTAAGCAGCTAGTTAGAATAGAGATGTGTATGATCACACTGAGACTACATGGGGGAGAGAGTTCCAGGAGGGGCCCCGAGCAGTCAATGAAGAAATCACAAAAGTTCTGCCCTCAGTGAACAGCTGGCCTTAAACATATGCAAGGTCCGAGGACACAGCCTATTTTGGAATTTGCTGGTCCAGTGAATGCCAGGCCCTCTTACAGCCTGCACACAGAGATGTGTTGTAGAAAGAGAAGGAGCCAATCAAGAGAACTCCTCTGGTTGGAGACTTGCCACCTTCATCACATCCTAGCTAGAACAAAGATGAGAGAAGTGTGTTCTTTAAATGTCTAACTAGAATGTTGACTAAAACACAGAATTAGATATTTGATCTTCTGGATCAAATCTGTTTTACATCTTAAGGTAATTCAGTATGTCTGTTGCCTCAGAAAGGACAGAGAACTATATGACTGATTTACTTTGTATCTGGTGGAAGATGAGGAAATTAGCTCCTCATAATAGATTTAATGAGTCAATGAAAGACAAAAATTGATCTGTGATTGCTTCTTATGATTCTTGGTTTTTCATTGTGATCATTCCATTGTCTTTTTCATGATCTCTTCCTTAGGTGCTCCTATATGCTACTTCTCTGATTTCTTTCATGTCTCTTGCTGGTCACTCCTTGTTAATATGCCCCTTCAATTTACACATCTGTGTCCACAGTTTCAACCGCTGCACACATGTTAATGACTCTTGAAAAGATTATCATCTATTCAGTTTCTTACCATGGGCACCAGATATCTCTGAGATTTTACACTTGTGTATCTCACAAGCAATTCATTTTTTTTTTTTTTTTTTGGTACTGGTAATTAAACCCTGGGCCACTCCACCACTGAGCCACATC